AAGTGGGTCAAATTAAAGACTAGCAGCAATTAGTTTACATGAGTTTAATAAATAAGCCAATGAGGAAAGATGATTTCACAAATACTGATCACACACTGTGGCAGGACTGTAGCACACTGGAGATTTGTCTATAGGAAGCTTACAGCCCTGAAAAGAGGGGCCTAGCCCCAAACAAGAAGTTGGTGGCTTCCCCGAGAAGGTGACCTGAACTGCAGGATCCCAGACTAAATAGAAAAAATTCTCTCACCACAACTCTCAGAAATTCATCTCCTTTAATACACAGCCAAGCCAAACACAGCTATAAGACAAAATAATAAACTGTAAAATCAGCTTGAAGGGGCCTTAATAAGAACATGATAAACTTAGACCAACCCTCAGTTGCCCTGAAAGGAATTACCAGTCTCAGTACCCACAGGATGCCGTCTCAGACACACCAGTCACTCAGAGTAGATTTGAAAGCTTGTGCTCACCAACACAGTTGTCTCAGCCGTGCCGGAAGTCCAGGGGTCATGGTGGGAGTGGGAAGTTCGCACCTCTTATGGAATTTAAACTTCCCCAAACTAAGAAATCAACTAGCCGGGCGGTGGTGGCGCACGCCTTTAATCCCAGCACTTGGGAGGCAGAGCCAGGCGGATCTCTGTGAGTTCGAGGCCAGCCTGGTCTACAAAGCAAGTTCCAGGAAAGGCGCAAAACTACACAGAGAAACCCTGTCTCAAAAAACCAAAAAAAAAAAAAAAAAAAAGAAAGAAAGAAATCAACTAACTGACCTCAGGCTGCTGATACCTCTGCAGTATGTGCCTGAAACAAATCACCCCAGAAGGACAGACTGACATCAGTGAGCGCAGTACTGAACCTCTGACAGATAAACTCCACTGGGCTCCTGACCCCATATTATAAAGCACACAGAAGGAATCTACATGAAGAGTGTTAGCCAGCATGACACATCACACGTGAGTCCTGAACTCATCACCCTGGTCCTGAACTCATACAGGGAATGTGGGTCTAATTAAAATGCTCAGGTAATACAGAGCTGGAGAGATGACTCAGCATAGCAGCACTGACTGCTCTTCCAGAGACCTGGATTTGATTCCTAAAACCCACATGGTGGCTCCCAGCCATCCGTAACTCCAGTTCTGACAGAACTGTTCTTGTTCTGGCCTCTGTAAGCACTGTACACACATGGTGCACAGACATACATCCAAGCAAAACACTCGTACACATAAGAAAAACATAGATAATTTTTAGGCTCAAATATACCAAAGAGACTTTTAAAGCACAACAGAAGAGTGTGGCATTGTCTGAAGAATTCAAGGATAGGTTTTGAGCAAAGCAAAGAGCATTTGCAGCCATGCAGTCCAGGGGGAATGCATACTGGGAACTGGCAGTCACAGAATGGTGAGAAAGATGGGCAAGGCTTGAGTCATGCAGTTATTACGTTCTGCATTAGTCAGGATTCTCAGAAAGATGGCATTTGTCTAGGGAGTAGTTGTTGTTGGCTACCTAAGAAGTGTGAGGAGGGCGGGGGGATAGTTAGAAGGACAGGAACACAGGCTGCTTCTCACACCACTGCCTGGCTCCTTTGCGGGTGTCCCCTTCTCTCTGCTGCAGTTTTCTCCCGAAGTGAGCTTCGGCACTTGCTCATGTCCTTTAATTGTTTGTTGGTAGGAAAATCATACAATGGAATTATTTATGTTTTGCTTTTGAGATAGGGCCTCTTGCAGCCTAGACTGGCCTTTAATATGCTGCATAGCCAAAAATGACCAGAACGTTTTATCCTCCTGCCTCTGCCTCCCAAGTGCTGGGATTACAGGCGTGTGCCACCACACCCAGTTAAAATTGATCATTTTAACCACTTTTGACTGTCCAGTACATTGGCATTAAGTGTGCTCACACTGTTGGCAGCCATCACCATAATCCATCTCTGGAACTTTTCCTCCCAAAATGAAATGGTACCCACCAAACACCAACTCCCAGGGTCCCCTCCTTTCCTCACTTTCTTTCCCTGGGAATCTGAGCACTTAGAGACCTCCTGTTAGCAGGAACCGCCTGTCTCCTTTAGTGCCGCTCTGATGGCTCAGGGAAAGGGACCTTCTTAAATAGACTCTGTCCCCTCGCTCCATTTGAAAAGCACTGAGAGGAAACTCTTATGCATGGCTTGGTAACATGCGTGCTTCTAGAAGACGATGACTAATGCTGTTTACTAAGCTGGGCTCCCTGCCCTCCCAGCATCCTCCCCAATTCCCTGGTCTGTTTTTAATGTCCAAAATAGTGCTCAACACCACTCTGCTGTCTCAGTCTGCTTTGTTTTCTTCCAGAGCACTCATCGTGTGTGTGTGTGTGTGTGTGTACTAGTCTAAAGTTTGTGGCCTGGAGCGGCCCTCTCACTTCAGCTCCTAGGTAGCTAAGGCCACAGGTGTCCATCAGTATCTTCAGCTCACTGACTGTTGATAAATATATGTATTTGCTTATTGCTTCCTCCACCACCAGAACATGAGACCACACTCGGCTTTTTCTGTCTCATTTACCCATGTTCCCACTAGAACAGGGCCTGGGCCATAACAGGAACTCAGCACTTATTTTTAATTAATTAGAAATAGGGCTGGAGCTACCTGTTTACATTCATGGCTAAAAGTGGTTAAAAGAAATTAATTCTCAATTCAAGTGAGGATAAGGAATTAGAAATTAAGAGGGACAGAACTCTTGATATGCATGAACATAGTAATTAAACATGAAAGTTTGTCCAAATAGCAAGATAATGTTCTCTCTTTTTTTTAATTCCCAGGGGTGTGTGTGTGTGTGTGTGTGTGTGTGTGTGTGTGTGTGTGTGTGTGTGTGTGTTTTGGGGCAGGATCTCACTATGTAACCTTGGCTGTCCTTGAACTAACTATGTAGACAAAGCTGGCCTCGAACTCACAGAGATCCGCCTGCCTCTGCCTCCCGAGTGGTGGGATTAAAGGCGTGAGCCACCACTCCTGGCATAGTCCCAGTTTTTTGAGACAGGATCTTGTCATGAATCCCTGATTCATTGGTCATTCACTGTAGCTCAGACTGACCCTGACCTTAAAGCAGCCTCCTGCCTCAGCCTCCCACGTGCTGGAGTTGCAGTTTATGCCATCCTGTCCAACTGAGAACTATACTTTTTAAAAATGAATAATCATGGAAAATATAATGATGGGGAAAAATTAGAGTCCTAAGATTGTAGTAGACTCAGAAGCCCTTTCTGGAATTGCCAGTTGGACATTGTACTGAGACTGTAGAAGTGAGTATAAACCCATCAGACCAATTACATATACATGCATTTTTACTGTCCAACACTGAAAACTAGCAAGATAGATTTGGGTCTTTTGCCGTTTGGGCCAGTTCTGCTCTTTCCAATTGTTCTCAGCTATACCCAGACCAAATTCTCGGGAGTGAGACTCACCATGTCATGTTACTCTACGTTGACATCACTCTGATCTGTTCATAGCTACCTCAGCTCTCCTCCTTCCTCTCTCCCTTAACCTTGGGGGCAGCGTCTGTACCTAAAAACTGTGTTAGTGACTCCTCTGTTGCTGTGATAAAAACACCATGACCAAAACAACTTATAGAAGAAAAAAATTTATTTGGGCTTATGGACCCAGAGGGTAAGAGTCCATCATGGGGGTGGAGCGGCAGAACAAGTGTGTAGCAGCTGGAACAGGATGCTGAGAGCTCTCGTGCCTTGCCATAATAAGCATGAAGCAGAGAGCATACAGACAGTAAAGACTTCTATCTCAAAGCACACGTCCAATGATGTACTTCCCCCATCAAGGCAGCACCACCTGAACCCCCCGCCCCAAGCAGCAGCACCAGTGGAGGACCAAGTGTTCGAATGCCTGAAACTATGGGGGACACTTCTCACTCAGACCACCCCAGTGACCAGCTGTGCTCCCTTATTTTGGGGTGCTCCTTTCTTTTACTTTCCTTCAATCTCATTATCTTTATAACCATTGATGGGCATCCAAAACTTGGCCACTGTGGCACCCAGCCAAATATACCCTATCCACCTCCTCCCCAATGACTTCCTTTCCTATTTTGTCTTACCCACCCACATACACCTCTCCTCTAAACCCTATGAGAAGCACAATCCCTGGTAGGAAAACAAGCTGCGTTGCCTCAGGCTTGCTCCCCGGCCTCCACCAGCACCATTCCTGCCAGGCTTCTAGATGCCAAGACTTTAAGGAATGACTTATTTCTTTCTCCCTGTCCGAATCAGAAAATAATTTCTCTGTGGCAGTTTCTTGCTTTTTATTTGGAAGATTAAATAGAGATGCCCTTAGCATCTGGAGCCAATCCCCATCCTCACATTAAGTGGGAAAACAGGTACAGAGTACTCCAGGACAATTTGATGATAGTTCAGCCGTCATCCTTCATCACAGGCCTAACAGTGGTCCTAGGTGCAGGCTCTGCATTCAGGGTGACTACTGAACTCTGCTCTCTTGGGCTCAGATAGTTTGTTGCACGTGTTCTGCCTTTTGCTCTCCGTGTAAGAGGTAACTATGGGAAGTCTTGTTCTTAACTACTGGAACTTTGCATACTTTGAAATCACCTCTTTATGATGTTTGATCTGGTTAGGAAACCTAGCATCTTTAGCCTGGGATTTGTGACTCTTTTAAAAAGATATTAAAAAGTTATTAACTCTTACTAAAAGTCGCAGATTCCTTAGATTTGGGGGCACTCTTAGAAGTCAGCATCTAATAGTGTCCGAGGTGAACAGTAAATAGTTTTTCTTTCCCTGATGCAGTAACAAAGCTGTCACATCTGACTGGATTCTCCATAGATCTGCTTATCCTGGTCCTCTGTTGTAGCCGCTGCCAGGACTGTTTATAGTTCTCCAGGGTAACACTTGATCTAAAGTGACTGTGAGGTTCTTCCTGTCTGATCAGCCTGTAGAACTTGGGTGTCCTGTGCGTTTGCCGTAGTTTGTGTACTTACACATACTTACAGACCTTTCCTAAAGTGTCCTGTGTGTTCTTTTACAGGACAACGAAGGCCAGACAGCCCTTCATTATGGTAAGCTCCTTCTGAACTATCGGTCGTATTTGAACATTGTGTCGGTCTAAGCCTGTGTGGTAGAGCTGGTGGAAATGCAGTAACTGTCATCATCAGTAGAGGCTTCTCCACCCCCTGCTGCCAATGCATTCATTCATTCTTGGTACTGCCTAGGACAACCAGGATGCTAGTCATTGTTATTGTAGAATCTAATCTCTCCTATTTAAAAAAGAAAAACAAATGCCGATGTGGTGGCGCATGCCTTTAGTCCCAGCACTGGGGAGGCAGAGGCAGGCGGATCTCTGAGTTCGAGGCCAGCCTGGTCTACAAAGTGAGTTCCAGGACAGCCAGTGCTGTTACACAGAGAAACCCTGTCTCAGGGGGAAAAAAAAGAAAAGAAAGAAAGAAAACACCAAAGAACTAAAACAGCAAAGTTTTCTTGAGGCTGGGAAGACAGATGGTTGGTAAAGTGCGCACTGTGCAAGCACGGGGACCTGAGCTCAGAGCCCAGCCCTCACATGAAAGCCAGGCACAATGGCGTGCCCCTGAGCCCTGGGCAAAGGCAGAAAGATCCTTGGGGCTCATTGGCCATCCAGGCTAACCAAAAACTGGTACACTTGAGGTCCAGTGAGAGACTTTGTCTTGGAAGATACGGTGGCAATCGATAGAGCAACACACACAACGTTGACTGATGCAGAGGCTGGCCCTCCTCACACATGCGTACACCTCACATACAAGAGAAATAATTCTTTGAGGAACCCCTAACCTATGGTTTTACTATCTGTAGTTTCAGTTGCCCACAGCCAATTCCAGTCCAAAAATATGAAATGTGGAAATTCTAGAAATAGACAGGAAATAGATTTTAAATTACATGCTGTTCTGAGTAACATGAGGAGTCTCAGGCCATCCTCGGTCCTTCGGTCTAGGCCATGACTCATGTCTTCGTCTGACCTGTTCAAGCTGTGTACACTACTTGTGCATTAGTCACTTTGGAGTGTCTCACTAACCAGAGCAGCTGATCACAGTGCTTGTGTCCAGATGACCCTTTGGTAGCAGCCTAACAATAGGTCATGACACCTACATCATTTGCCTCACTTTGTCTTAACACATGGACATTGAGTCATCTCATATTATCATAGGAATTGTGAGCATAGTACAATAAAATGTTTTTTTCAAGAGAGTATATTCCTTTATTTCATTACTTACTGCTATTAATCTCTTGTCATATTTTACTATGAGTGTGTAGAGAAATAAAAAAACAATGTAAGCATATATATGTTGTGTGTACACGCTCATGTGACGCATGTATGGTGTATGTGTATGTGTGTTGCTTGGTCCTAACTTCAGTTTCTTGAATTTTTTTTCACCCAGATAAAGGGAGACTAGTATAACTGAATAAAGAAAACAAATTGGATTTTTAAACTCATTTTCTCTACTAAATGATTATCTTTACTTCAATATCTATAAAATAGAGTAAAAATGATCTGTAAAGTAGAAATAATAGCATGGCTCTTAGAGAACTATTAAGTAAATTCAGGAAAATAAAAAGATATTAAAGATTATAAAATACTAGCAAATAGAATTCAGAGATTCTGTTTGTGTATGAATATTGTTGAATAAAAGACAGCCATCAGTGTCTAAATCAGGCTAAGGATCAACCACCTTCGGCCATTTCAGAAAGGAGCACAGACTGCTTTGCCATTCTGGACAATGCTGGGCTAGGATTAGTGCCAAGGGGCTCAGATGCCCGTCAGCACCTTGTCCACAGCTGACCATCACTGGATAACCTGGGAGTCTAGACTGTGGTACTAGCTGTTTGCAACCCATGGAAATCGGCCTGATAATAAAAATTGGAATGTCTACAAATGTCTACCCCAACTCATTTATGAGTTTACCTGGTATTATCTGGATAGTAAAACTAGCAGGAAAAAAGGAAACTTGTGAGTCCATTTCACTTTTGAACATAAATGCCAAAATCCTAAGGAAAATATTACCAAATGAAACCCATCATTGTACTTTAGACAGAAAGATATGTCATAATCGAGTTGAGTTCATCCCAGAAATTGAAGGTGTAACATTTTAAAATTTATTGGTATGATTTTCTACATTTCCAAGTTAGGTGAAATACTTAATTCAGTAATTCGGGTGTATAAAAAGCTTGTGAGAAAAGTCAACACTCAATTTAAGAAGTTTAGAAAAGTGATTCAGACATTGTGGGTTTCAGCCAGACTTGTGCTGGATATTCTAGTTCCCCACTGACTGTCACAGGCCGCTGAAATCACTGTCCTTTACCACTGACCTGCACAGGCCGCCGAAGTCACTGTCCTTTACCACTGACCTGCACAGGCTGCCGAAGTCACTGTCCTTTATCACTGACCTGCACAGACCGCCAAAGTCACTGTCCTTTACCACTGACCTGTACAGGGCACTGAGGTCACTGTACTTTACCACTGACCTGCACAGGCCGCCAAAGTCACTGTCTTTTACCACTGACCTGCACAGGGCGCTGAGGTCACTGTACTTTACCACTGACCTGTACAGGCCGCTGAAATCACTGTCCTTTACCACTGACCTGCACAGGCCGCTGAGGTCACTGTACTTTACCACTGACCTGCACAGGCCGCTGAGGTCACTGTCCTTTACCACTGACCTGCACAGGCCGCTGAAATCACTGTACTTTACCACTGACCTGCACAGGCCGCTGAGGTCACTGTCCTTTACCACTGACCTGCACAGGCCGCTGAGGTCACTGTCCTTTACCACTGACCGTCACAGGCCGCTGAAATCACTGTCCTTTACCACTGACCGTCACAGGCCGCTGAAATCACTGTCCTTTACCACTGACCTGCACAGGCCGCTGAGGTCACTGTCCTTTACCACTGACCTGTACAGGCCGCTGAAATCACTGTCCTTTACCACTGACCTGCACAGGCCGCTGAGGTCACTGTACTTTACCACTGACCTGCACAGGCCGCTGAGGTCACTGTCCTTTACCACTGACCTGCACAGGCCGCTGAGGTCACTGTACTTTACCACTGACCTGCACAGGCCGCTGAGGTCACTGTACTTTACCACTGACCTGCACAGGCCGCTGAGGTCACTGTAATTTACCACTGACCTGTACAGGCCGCTGAGGTCACTGTCCTTTACCACTGACCTGCACAGGCCGCTGAAATCACTGTACTTTACCACTGACCGTCACAGGCCGCTGAAATCACTGTCCTTTACCACTGACCATCACAGGCCGCTGAAATCACTGTCCTTTACCACTGACCTGCACAGGACGCTGAGGTCACTGTACTTTACCACTGACCTGCACAGGCCGCTGAAATCACTGTCCTTTACCACTGACCTGTAGAGGGCGCTGAGGTCACTGTACTTTACCACTGACCTGTACAGGCCGCTGAAATCACTGTCCTTTACCACTGACCTGCACAGGCCGCTGAGGTCACTGTACTTTACCACTGACCTGCACAGGACGCTGAGGTCACTGTACTTTACCACTGACCTGTACAGGCCGCTGAGGTCACTGTCCTTTACCACTGACCTGCACAGGCCGCTGAAATCACTGTACTCTAGTTTACACTGGATGGAATAGGGACCTCAGACCGGGTATGAGAGTATAAGAGGTTCTTTTATGTGAAGTGCTTAGAACAGTGTCTGACAGCTGCTATATATGCATGAAGTATTAGCAGGTTTTATTTTTTTTATATAAAATCCTTGAATGAACTAGAAATGTAGCATTAGGGTTGAAACATTAGTAGATAACATTCATGTAACACATCCACCGCCAAAAAGGTCAATAAAAGAAAGCTGTATAGAAATAATTATTCCTGCTGGGTGGTGGTGGCGCACACCTTTAATTCCAGCACTCGGGAGGCAGAGCCAGGTGGATCTCTGTGAGTTCGAGGCCAGTCTGGTCTACAGTGTGAGATCCAGGACAGGCACCAAAACTACAGAGAAACCCTGTCTCAAAAAACGAAAGAAAGAAAAGAAAGGAAGGAAGGAAGGAAAGAAGGAAAGAGATTCCTTATATGACTGGAATTTAGCTAGTTTAAACATGAAGATGATTCTAGTAAGTTTGTATCAAGATGGTAGAGTGACAAAGAAAAAATGAAAAAGAAGCCGGGCGGTGGTGGCGCACGCCTTTAATCCCAGCACTCGGGAGGCAGAGCCAGGCGGATCTCTGTGGGTTCGAGGCCAGTCTGGGCTACCAAGTGAGTTCCAGGAGAGGCGCAAAGCTACACAGAGAAACCCTGTCTCGAAAAACCAAAAAAAAAAAAAAAAAAAAAAAATGAAAAAGAAGCGTTAAAGAAATTAGAATATGACATCAGCAGTGCAGAGTGCTGATACAAAGCAAGCAGCAGTGAAGGAAAAGAGGTACCAAAAAGACACAGAGCAGAAAGTGGAAGAGCAGGTGTGACTCGGGGAGAGTGAATAAGACACCCAGTGTTCTCCTCTGGCCTCCACATGTGCCAGCACATACGTGTGCATATTCACCCATGTGCACAATCATGGTCATACATGCAACTCATGTGCACACATACATGCAACTCATGTGCACACATACACACAACTATGTGCACACTAGCACCCACAGGTACAAGGTATTGATACTTTCCTATGGCTGTGATAAAACACCATGACCAAGGCAACTTATAGAAGAGTTTATTTTAGACTTACAGTTCCAGAGGGTTAGAGTCCATGACGCTGGAGCAGAGCTGGCAGAGGGCACAGCTGGAGCAGCAGCTCAGCGTTGATGTCTCAAACCACCAGCAGGAAGCAGAGAGGGCTGACTCAGAATGGCACAAGTCTCTGAAATGTGGCGAGCCACAAGGATATATCATAGAGATTCAGCTGTGTATTAAAGCTGTACTTTGACTGGCCAAGGGTCTGTCAAAAGGCAAGCCGTTTATTATGAATATTTGGTGTTACCCAGCCTTTAATATTTCAGCTGTCTTCTTCTGTGAAATTCTTGCATGCCCAAATATTCCCAGACCATTTGGCAAACATTTCAGCTC